GTTGTGTACAGTCACTGTGTTTTGTGTAAAAACCTAACTGGGGACAGAATTGAGAATTAGCCTTATAGCTAAAATGTTGTAGTGTGTGACATGTTTCATGAAACATACTTGTCCCTATCAAATAAACGAATAAATAAAAATAAAATAGTAGTGACTTGTGTAATCTGGTATCTCTAGGCTGTGGTCAGCAGCAGTGTGGAGCCAGGAAACCACATCAATATCCCCTTCAGCGTGATGACCCAGGGAACCGGGGGATCATATTCAATCAACATCAGGAACGACAGAAACTTCCCAATGACCTACCCAGGGACGTGAGTAGAAGTTATCATAAGTTATCATAAGTTTTTCCCTCTGTTTCATGTTCAAATACGGGACATTTGGCAGATTTATGCCGGTGAAAAAAGATGGCAAACCTTTTTTTATCTCCAGTTGAATGGGAACGCAGAACCTCTGAAATGAGCTGGTCCTGTTGATTTCTAGAGTATAAAGTTTTTACTTTCCTATTCAGTTAGTCATCAGGGATTAGCAAATAAAATATACAGTGGGGGAATAAGTATTTGACCCCTTGCTGATTTTGCAGGTTTGCCCACTTACAAAGAATGCTTATTTTTCCTCATCAGATGGTTATCAATTTTTATAAATTCATATGATGTGATTTTCTGGAATTTTCTTTGGGATTCTGTCTATCACTGTTAGAATGTACATATGATTAAAGTTATAGATCGTTGCATTCTTTGTAAGTGGGCAAACCTGCTAAATCAGCAAGGGCTCAAATACAGGACTTTCTCAGAAAATTAGAATATTGTGATAAAGTTCTTTATTTTCTGTAATGCAATTAAAAATCATGAAATGTCATACATTCTGGATTCATTACAAATCAACAGAAATATCGCAAGCCTTTTATTGTTTTAATATCGCTGATTATGGCTCACAGCTTAAGAAACCCAAATATCCTATCTCAAAATATCAGAATATCGGATTTTTTTGTTTTCTTCAGCTGTACGCCATAATCAGCGATATTACAACTGCTCCTGTTGATCTCTAGAGTATAAAGCTTTTACTTTCTTATTCACTTAACCACAGGGATTAATAAGTTAAAGATAGATGCTTGTAGGATATACAGTGGGGGAAATGAGTATTTGACCCCTTGCTGATTTTGCAGGTTTACAAAGAATGCAACGATCTATAACTCAGATTATTCCATGTGAACCGTATTATTCCATGAATCAGCTTTAAACTCTAAAGCTACTGTTGGTGGTCCTTTTTTTCCCCGACAGGATCACCTTGACAACGGGACAATACTCCAACGCTACGGTGATGATAACTCCGCCCAGCAGCACAGAATCAGGAACCGACGTGACCATAACCATCGAAGCCAAATCTCCCAGTGGA